GACGCAACAAGCCAACTAGTGGCATGGGGCGATTGGCACCACCCATGACTGCCGACCCGATGGAGAACGACGAGGGCGATGTGGAGCAGCGGCTAGCAAATAATGAGATGTGCAAATTTTGCGGCGCTACAGGACATCGTATCTTGGCGTGTTGGAAAATGAAGAGAAGGTGTGCGGAGCTCAAGGACAAGAACAGTGCGGCACCCCCGAAGCAGAAAACGGACAACGTGGCAACTTCGGAGAGGGCGAAAAAAGGAGAATATGGTGGCGCAAATTTAAAACGTCACGACCAGCCGGCACCAGGGGAAATCGCCGAGACTAATGGAGGATCCGCGAAACAAGACCCTGCACCGACCGGGAAACTCCAGCCGTATACCCCGACAAGTAAGAATATTACTTCTCGTGGGTTTCAAGCCTTTATTAAGGGAGAGTCAGAAATTAAACCGGTACCGGGTATTATGGGGACCCTACTCCAGAGCGCTAATACGGGTCGAGCGTTCCGAGGAGTTAATATTCTCTCCTAGCAGCACTGTTTAAAGGCTCCCTGTTCCCCACAGATGAAGCCTACACAGCTGCAAAGGCTTAGTGGAAGGTTCCAGGCCCAAGAGAAGCCGAATCGGCCTCGGATAAATCCTTCTAACCTTTCTCAGTTGAAAACAGATACTGAAGCTGCATCTTTGAGCGCAGGACCTAGGGATAACATATTCGACGTACCCTACGATCCTATAAGCGATACCATCTACGGATACTCGGAGCACCAGCAACCACTAGTACTCGAGGTGATCTGCAACGGGCGTCGCCTCCAGGCCCTGGTGGACAGTGGTACGTCCCACTCGGTGTGCGACCGCGGGACGTTGGAGAAAATTGGAGAATCCTAAGAAGAACCCCAGTTTACAGCAACGATGGTGGACGGTACGAAGCTTCCCATCCACGGAAAGTCAACACTGCAAGTGCAGATAGGGGCGTTGAGGTGGAAGCCGACGTTGCCGATCACGAACATCAAGGGATTAGATTTCATCTTGGGGCAAGATTTTCTAAAGCGGTTCAACCCAAAGATCGCCTGGGTCAACCAGAAAACGTGCATCTACAACAACGGGAAACGAGTGGAGCTGCGAAGCTTAACGGATACAGGGAGCGTTCCTGAAACGACACTGGCACGATTCGAACGGACAGTGAACGAGAGTAACACGGATTACTTAGCACTGGTTATAGCAGCAGCAGAGGAGGAGGTCTTGGAGCATTACAAGGATATAATGCCCGACGACCTACCCACAGGCGTATCTCCAGCACGCACCCACGAGCACGAGATCGTGGAGGAACCAGGTGCGAAACCCGTCTCACGTGCACCATACCGACTGAGTCCGCCTGAACTGACAGACATGAAAAAACAGATAGAGTATCTACTAGACAGACAACTGATCCGCCCATCCACCTCTCCCTACGGCTCACCGGTTCTCTTCACTCCAAAACCAGACGGCAGTCTACGGATGTGCATCGACTACCGCGCACTGAACAAACAGACAGTAAAAAACAAATATCCCATACCGCGCATAGACGACCTACTCGATCAACTGCGTGGAGCAACAGTATTTTCGAAGCTGGACCTACGATTTGGCTACTGGCAGATCAAGATGGCAGACAACTCCGTCTACAAGACAGCGTTCCGTACAAGATACGGCTCCTACGAATACTTGGTGATGCCGTTCGGACTCTGCAACGCACCAGCAACGTTTCAGGCGGAGATGAATCACATCTTACGACCCCTGCTGGACGAATGTGTGGTGGTGTACCTGGACAACATTCTCATCTACTCCAAGAACATGAAGGAGCACGTGGAGCATCTGCGGAAGGTGTTCGAGATCCTGCGGAAAAACAAGTTCTACGTGAAGCTGTCAAAGAGCGACTTCGCCCTGAAGAAGGTGCAGTTTCTCGGGCACATGGTGAGTGCCGAGGGCGTACACGTGGACCCACGGAAGATCGAAGCCGTCAAGAAGTGGAAAGTACCAGAGAACGTGAAGGAGTTACAGCAGTTCCTAGGCTTCGCCAACTACTACAACAGGTTCGTGCCGCAGTACGCTAAGATAGCAGCGCCACTGACCGACCTACTGAAAAAGGATACGCCCTACAAATGGGATACCCTTCATCAGCAAGCCATGGAGCAGCTACAGACAGCACTGACTACAGCGCCAGTACTCATCTTGCCGGATCCAGACAAGGACTACGTGGTGGAAGCACACGCTAGTGACCAAGCAGTCGGAGCAGTACTGATGCACGATCACGGACGCGGTTTGCAGCCCATCGCCTACCTCAGTAAGAAGCTACACGGAGCAGAACTAAACTACCCCATTCACGACAAGGAAGCCTTAGCGATAGTCATAGCCTTCAAGGCGTGGAGGTGTTACCTAGAGGGAGCCAAGACTACAGTCTATACTGACCACTGCAGTCTCAAATACCTGAAGTCACAGCCGACACTCTCACGTCGACAAGTGCGGTGGGTGGACTTCCTGGAAACTCACTTCCACTACGTCATCGTCTACAAGCCCGGGCAACACAACAAGGCAGACGCGTTGAGCCGCCCCGGACATGTAGCAGGCATCCAGCTCGACGGGATGAACCCTCTGCTCAAGGGTCGATTCCAACATGGGTACTCTGTGGACGCAGAGATTGCTACAGCACAGACCAAGAAGCTATTACAGTGGGAGAAAGACTTAGCTGTAAGGAAGGGTTCAAGAAAGATTTGGGTACCGAATTACGCCCCGCTACGGCAGATCCTATTGGAGGAGTTTCACGACGTACCTTACGCGGGACATTTCGGGAGCAACAAGACGTTAGCACGGATAGCGAAGTATTACTACTGGCCCGGGATGGCAGCAGACGTGCAGCAGTTCGTCACCTCTTGCGACACGTGCCAGCGGATGAAGAGCAGCAAGCAGAAAAAAGCAGGGTTACTTCAGCCTCTACCCGTACCGGAGCAGCCATGGCAGGTCGTTAGCCTCGACTTCATCACAGGGCTTCCTTCGACCTCACGGGGACATGATTCCATCCTCGTGATCGATAAGTTCTCCAAAATGGGTCACTTCATACCGACCAACGCCACAGCTACAGCTGAAGCAACTGCTCGACTCTTCTTCGACCGCATCATCACCATCCACGGCATCCCCGCTACACTCATCTCAGACAGAGACCCCAAATTCACGAGTAAGTTCTGGAAGGAGCTCATGGGACTGTTGGGGACAAAGCTTGCAATGTCTTCAGCATACCACCCCCAGACTGACGGACAGACAGAGCGACTCAATCAAGTGGTTGAACAGTTACTGCGCACAGCTTGCAAGGACGACGTCAGCCACTGGGACACACAGTTACCAACCCTAGAGTTCGCTTACAACAACGCATCACATGCGGCCACAGGGAAAACTCCTTTCTTCCTGTGTTACGGACGGGAACCACTCACACCACAGCAGCCAACCACACCGGCATACGTCCAAGCCGCACATGACTTCGTCACCACCATGCAGCAGCTATGGGAGAAGACTCAGCGACGTCTCACCACGATGCAGAACTCCCAGAAGCAGTATGCCGATCGTCAGCGACCTGATCACTTAGTAGCAGTCGGAGATCAGGTGCTTCTTGACACGCGCAACTTGAACCTGTCTCACCTCCCATCCAAACTCCGGCCTCGCTTCTGTGGTCCTTTTCTCGTTGAGGCACAGGTGACACCAGTTACATTCCGCTTGCGCTTACCAGATACATGGAAGCTTCACAACGCTTTCCATGTCCAGCTACTGAAGCCCTACAAGGACCCCAACCAACAGTTCCAGGGACGGCAACTACCGCCACCACCACCTGTTCTCATACAGGATGAACCCGAGTACGAGATCGAGCGCGTTCTCACCCATCGGCGCCGCGGTGGCAAGACCCTCGAGTTCCTGATACGCTGGAAGGGATACGACCCCACTGAGGACAGTTGGGTTGCAGAAGCTGATATGGGCAACGCACGCCGTGCTCTCAAGGACTATCTTGTAAAGCAGGGTGTATCTCACGCCACCCAGCTTTGAGGGGGGGACGTGTGAGAGTACAACGGCTTATGCCAGCTATGCTTGCTTGCCTCTACTTTATCATGCTATTTCTAGCATAGGATAATCATATGCATGCATGAATTGCTTGATTTCCTAGGCTAGGTGCTTTCCTATATTTTATTATAGTTATAGCACCGAGCTAGGTTGCGTGCACCGAATTCTGGCTTTTCGGTTGCCACCGAATTGCCTTTTGCCGAATTTGGTAAGGACCTGTTCCGGACGCTTCGCGACCCGCGGAACCTTCGCGTAACACCTGGTTATGGGGCCTTGTGTCGAGCCTATATATAGCCTCGTGTTGTACCCAGGTGGACATTCAATTCAATTCAATTTGAATCATCTTTTCTGAGCTCGATCCTAGATCCTCACACAGAAGGTCAGAGGAGAGCTCTCCGCCTCTGTCGGAATGCAGACGCAGAACAAGAAAGTCTGAGCTGAAACTCTTTCTGAGCTGGAGACGAGCTGCGCGGATCCAGTCGATGAACACCTCAGTGACCTCACCCTTGCTGCGCATGGGGAAGAGTGTGGTGTAACGCGAGTAGTCGTCAACCACCACCAGGAAGTAACGCTCGTGACCCTGACCACACACGCAGGCGGGGCCCCACACGTCAAGGTGAAGCGCCTGCAGCGGAGCCTTTGTCGGAGGAAACTCGGAGGAGTGAGGAGCGGCACGCTGCCGCCCCTCGACGCAGGGAGCGCAGGTAGGGGCAGGCCCCGGAGGAAGAGGAGGGAGTGACCGGGGGAGACCAGAGACAAGGAAACGAGAGGCCATGCCTCGTAGACGAGGCAGGGAGGGGTGATGAAGGCGGTGGTGCCAGAGGAGAGTCTTGTGAGACAGGTCGTGAGTATGGTGCGGTCTCGAAAGAAGGAGCGGCAAGCACCTGAGTCAAGGGTGAAAGTGTGCAAAGCCTGAGCTGACGTGGTACCTTAGAGAGCAGACTCACCAGCACCTGGGGCAGCAGACTCACCAGCACCTAGAGAAGCAGCCTCACCAGCACCTAGAGCAGCAGCCTCAATGCCTGGGTGAGGCGGAACACACAGATAACAGTCACCCTCATCACTAGTAGACACAACATACATGGCAGCAAGAATAGCATCATAATCAAGATCAAAGATAGCAACCCCCGACCTAAGCAACTCGCCCCAGCGAGGGATCTCAGTGGCGTCAGGGAACTGGAGACGCCAGGCGTCCGTTAGGTGGCCGAAGCATCGCTGGGTGGTATGCGGGCCACCGCACGGCTCACCTGTGCGGTCATCGGTACGCAGGATGTAGGCACAGGGACCAGGACCCCCACCCCGCTGATGCTCACCGCACCACTCACGAAGCTGCTGGGGGGGCGGGGTCTCACGAGTGCGCTGCTGCTGCTGGCGCCGACCACCACCGAAGCCGCCTCGCTGCACAGAGCCACCCCGACCAGCTCCACCGCCACCTCCGCCACCGCCGCCACCACTGCCTCCTCCGCTCCCACCGCCACTACTGCCGCCGCCTCCGCCTCCACCGCCGCAACCGAAGCCCCCACCCGCGCTACCACTCCCACCGCCACCCCCACCACCTACACCGCCTCCACCGCCACCTCCACCGCCACCTCCACTGCCCCCACCAGCTCCTCCAGCGCCCTTGCCCCCCTTTTCCTTGCCGTTGCGGCGTCTCCCGCTAGGGGCAGACGCAGCGCCGACCGACTCAGTGCCAACGAGGTCGACCGCAGCAGCAGAGGCAACAGAGGGCAAAGGGGGGGAGGGGGAGCACCCCTCAAAGAAGGGGGCACGAGGGTCACCACGAGAGGCTCCTACAACGACTATACTCTTGTCAGCTGCCAGGAGGCGCTCCTCGAGGAGGTCAACGGTGAGTGTGGTGGGGCAAACAAGGAGGAAGTGGTCCTTGACCGGGCGAAGGGAGTCAGGGAGCCGGGTGACTAGGTAGTAGAGGGTGATGTACATTGGGGGTGGGTTCTTGGCGCAGAACTCAGCAGGAAGCACAGCACGGTAGCGGGTGTCACTAGTGCAGAGGTGCGTAATGAGGTCAGCGACTGTGGGAAAGGCGGCGAGGTCAGGAAACAGGTATGGCAGCATGAGGCGACTAAGGGCAGCAGTGGTAGGGGAAGAGTAGCGTGCAACTACAGCGTCGTACAAGGTCTTAGCACTCTTGTATTGACTAAAGTGTGCGCGCTCAATGGACGGCAGGTGACTACACATAGCAAGACGGGCAGTAGCATTGCGTGTGGCCCACTGTGAGCGAACAGTACTGTCAGTATCGGCAACAGAGGCTGCAAAGGCGCCGGACGTGAGATCGAACAGTGAGAGACCATCTTTCCTATCGCACTGCAGGAAAAGCTGCAGATCATCGACCCAGACCTCAAAGTCGATAGCCCGACCCTCAGCATCAAAGGTGAGAATATTGGGGGTAGCCATGACAGCAGCAGCAGCAAGCTAGCAGCAGCAGTAGCAGGCTAGCAGCACCAGCACCAGGCAAGTAGGAGCAGCAGTAGGAGGGGCGCGGCTTGGCGGTGCTCTTACGAGGGGCGGGTGGGTAGAGGTCCGCAAGCGGTGGGGCAAGGCCGAGGTGCGCCGGCAGGAACAGGGCCATGACAGGGCGGCAGAGGAGGGCCGCGCCTCGGCTGCAGGGTAGGGCCGGGCCGGCGGCGGCGGCTGTCATAGCAGTGGAAGCGGCGGTTGTCTTAGCAGGAGCGGCGGCGGCTGTCACGACAACAGCGGTGGCGGCGACCGGTCATCGAGGGGCCATGGAGGAAGGAGCAGCGGCAGCAGGCGCGACGACAGCTGCTTTTGGGGCGGCGACGACGGGGTGGCAGGGCCGTGAAGAGCCGGGGAGGGGCCGCTAAGGGGCCGTGACGAGCCGCGAAGGGGCCACGGAGGGGCCGTGAAGGAGCCGCAAAGGGCCGCGGAGGGGCCGCGAAGGGACCGCGAAGGGCGGCGAAGGGGCCGCGAAGGGCGGCGAAGGGGCCGAGAAGGGGCCGCGAGAGGCCGCGAAGGGGCTACGAGGGGCCGCAAGGGGCCACGAAGGGGCCGCGAAGGGGCCGCGAAGGGCCCTGAGAGGGGCCGCGAAGGGGCCTTAAGAGGGCCCGACGGGCCGCTAAGGGCAGGGGACGCGACGGGAGGGCAGGCATACGGGGCGCGACTAGGGCAGGCGCGACGCGCTACGGGCAGGTTCCCACTAGGCCCTACTAGGGAACGTTTCAGTGGTGGGCCCTAGGAAACGTTCCCACTAGGGAACCTGCTCTATACCATGTGAAATAACGAGAAATGATGGACTAGGAAATGAGTTGGGTACAAATATGTAACCCTAGGAAACTGTACCTGATACTGTCTACCCCACTACAGCCTAGAAATGATGAGAAACGAGAATGATTGAACTATGAAACAGTTGGGTACATGTACTAACCCTAATTGGGTTGTACCCCATATGGGCTACCCCACTACAGCCTACACAAATGTATAAGCTATAATGTTCTGACACACCCCCATAGGCAAAGTGGGGGAGAACAAGAGGTCACAAGACCAGTCAAGCAAAGCAAAGCAAGCTCAGGGTGGATCACAAAGTCACCACACAGTCCGAGCACAAGAGTAAGGCCACAAGGCCAATTCACATGCAAGAACATATATATAAAGGTAAACAAGCAAGTGCAGGTATATTGCGTAGCCTGGTCGTTAGCCCAAGAAGCGTCTGCGTGACCTGTGAGGACTACTCGACGTCGCCCTCCAAGCACTAGCCCCATGCCCGACGTACTGCACACGTAGCGCAACACCCTCTTCGCTGCAGCCATGTGCTCTCGTCTGTGTCTCCCAGGAGCAACATAGCGTGCCAAGATGCTAAGAGGGTATGCAAGGTCAGGTCGAGTGCAGGTCATCAAGTACATGAGGCAGCCAACAAGCTCTGGGTACGGGCCACTCGGCTCTACGGACTCATCCGAAGGCAGAGTTGAGAGCGAGTGGCGAGTAGACAGAGGAGTGGCTTGAGGTGAGGAGTACGTGAAGCCGAAGCGCTAAAGCACCTGCTGCACCATGTGTGACTGAGTTAGGGTAATGGTGCACTGTGCTCTGTCCCGGGTGATCTGCAAGCATAGGTAGCTATGCATTTCACCCAAGTCTGTGCACGTGTGTCTCTTCTGCAGCTCGGACTTCACGTGGGCGAGTCCAGCAGTGTCAGCAGTGGCAAAGACCAAGTCGTCGAGGTACGCGAGGATGTAGAGCGGTGGCAGAGAGGTGTCGGTGCGCAGAAACAACGACGAGTCGGCTGTAGAAGGAGCAAACCCAAGAGCCGCAAGTGTAGTCCTCAGTGTGTCGTGCCACTCACGGGGCGCCTGGCGGAGACCGTAGACTGTCCGTCGGAGGCTCCATTGGGTACCAGGAGGAAACGACCCAGTGAAGCTAGGAGGGCGGCGCAACCAGATCTCCTCGTGCAGGCTGCCTTGCAGGAAAGCTGTGCTAAAGTCAAGAGAGTGAAGCTCGTAGTCGCGCTGAGCGGCTATGTGCAGCAGCACCCGAAGAGTGGTCATCTTCGGGGTGGGAGAGAAGGTCTGAAAGTAGTCAGCTCCCTGCCGCTGACTGAAACCTCGAGCCACGTAACGCGCCTTGAAGACAGGCGGAGAACCTGGCGACCGCTTCACCCTGAAAATCCACATGCCACTGACGATGTTCGCCCCAAGTGGGGGAACCTCGTCGACGTAGGTGCCTGTGGACTTCCAGGAAGCCATCTCTGCGTCCATGGATGACTGCCACTGAGAGGAGTAGGAACCCTCGATCGCCTCAGCGTACGATCAAGGAGTCGGGATGTCTCGTGCATCCGGGTCTCCCTCAGGGGCAATCAGCGTCGACATGAGCTGGGGCAAAACAGCAGCAAAGCAGTGGGACTCTTCCTGACTGTCCTCAAGGACGTCCGTGCTAAGAGCACACTCACCCCCGATAGACGGAGGACAGACAGACTCAGACTCAGCAATAAGACTGGTAGCGTAGTCTAGACGACAGCAAGCAGCGAAGTCGACAAGCTTAGCAACTAGATCAGACGCAGCAGTGGACTCAAAGGAAGGGTCAGTTACAACATTAGCGAGAAGGCGCGTGACCGAAGGATTAGCAGCACGAAGGACGCAGTGCCATCTGGTGTGTGCTGGGGACCGTAGGAGGACGCGGACGCCCAACACGACGACTAGTGCGAGCAGCACGAACAGGCGACGCAGGACGAGATGCAGGCTCACGACGCTCAGCAAGACCTCCAAAAGGACCAGTGTAGGGAGAAGGAGCGGGAAGAGGGGAGGCGGGCTGTAAGTGTGACTGCGACTGGACAGGCTGTGGACACTCTAAGGGAGGAGCACGACCAAGAGAGGGCGGGAGACCAAGAACCTGCTCCAGGAGCGGAACAAAGTACGGCCTCGGCCGCTCAGCTCCTCCAGAACCAGCAAGGACAGCACTAGTACCCCCAGTGGCAGCACCAGCGCCAGCAGAACCGCCAGCGCCAACAACCCCAGCAGCTCCAGCTCCAGCAGCACCAACTCTAGTAGGACCGTCAGCTCCAGCAGCCGCAGCAGCACCCCCAGACGCACCAGCGCCAGTAGAAACAGAAGCGCCAACACCCCCAGCAGCTCCAGCTCCAGCAGCACCAGCAGCTCCAGCAGGACCAACTCCAGTAGCCCGAGCAACACCCCCAGTCTCAGCAGCACGTCTCCAGCGGCGGGCAAACCACTCGCGCAGCTCCTGTGGAGAGAGCGGCTCCCGCCTCGACGAAGCACTTCCGGCGGCCACACGTGCAGACCCAGCGCCCCCACGCTTGGCACCCCCAGGCTCAGCACCTCCAGGCTTGGCATCCCCAGACCCAGCACCCCTAGGCTCAGCACCCCCAGACTCAGCACCTCCAGGCTCAGCACCCCGAGCCCCAGCACCCCCAGACCCGGCACCCGCAGGCTCAGCATCTCTAGCAGCACTAGAGTCAACAGCTACCTCGACAGGCTCGACTGCGTCTACCTGGGACACACCTGACAGGGCAGGACCCTGAGGAGGGAGGGGGTCTACCGGGGGAGGACGTGGCACAAGGAAGAGCGGCGGCGGGGGGAGGGGCGCAGTGGGGTAGGGGAAGAGACGGTAGTAAGGCACCGACTCGTCAAAGGTGACGTCCTGGGAGGACAGAACACGGTGCGAGGTGGGGTGGTAAAACTGCCACCCAGGCGCGTCAGGGGGGAAGCCAAGGAAGACGCAGGGAATAGCACGGGGGGACAGCTTGTCCGCAGACAAGTCGCGGACAAACGCCCAAGATCCCCAGACCCGAAACGCAGACGCATCGCCAACCTTCCCGGTCCACCGCAAAGCGGGGGAGGTCTTAGGCAAGGAGACCCGGGGCTGAAGGTTGAGCTGATGCGCGTTGTACTGAACCGCAAACGGCCACAGAAAATGGGGGGGAGCCGCATGCATCATGGACGTACGAGTGACGTCCATGACCATGCCAATGTGACGCTCAGCAATCCCATTTTGCTGTGGAGAGGCCGGAAGCGTGAAGGTCTGGCGGATGCCCTGTGCACGTCAGAAGGCTCCCAGACGGGCAGAGGAAAACTCTCCGCCTCTGTCCGAGTGTAGGTGCAGAACTGGAAAGTCCGAGCCGAAACTCTCTCTGAGTTGAAGACGAGCTGCGCGGATCCAGTCGATCAACACCTCAGTGACGTCACCCTTGCTGCGCAATGGGAAGACTGTGGTGTAACGTGAGTAGTCGTCAACGACCAGCAAAAAGTACCACTCTCGCCCCTGCTCACTGATGCGCGCTGGGCCCCACACGTCCATGTGGAGAGTCTGCAGCGGAGCCTCTTTCGGAGGAAACTCGGAGGAGTGAGGGGCGGTGCGTTGTCGCCCCTCGACGCAGAGGACGCAGGTAGGGCCAGGCCTCGGAGGAAGGGGAGGGAGAGACCGAGGGAGACTGGAGACAAGGACACGAGAGGCCATGCCTCGGAGACGAGGCAAGGAGGGGTGACCAAGGCGGTGGTGCCAAATGAGAGTCTGGTGGGACAGCAGACGACACGAGCCGGGGGCAGACTCAGGACCAGACCTAGACGTCAGCAAACACCTGACTCGACGCAGCTACATGGGCAGACTCAGCAGCAGGAGGGGACTCAGTGGTAAGGGTGTACAGGCTCGACCCTCGCCGACGGGTGAACGTGGCCAAGTGTCGGCCTGTCCGAGCACACGTGCAGTGGGTCACTCGCTGACTCGCAGGAGTGAACTGGTCAACCCCCCTATCCTGTAGGTCCGCTTAGAGAACGAGGGGAGGTAGAGACCAGGCAGGGTGCCAGAGGGGGCTGCCGGGCAGGGTAGAACAGTGGAGAAGCTAGAAATTACAGGACCCCAGAGGGGTCTGCTAGGGAGACTGCAACCGGCCGACTGAGCGGCGTAAGCGTGGTGCGGTCTCGAAAGAAGGA